TTGTTGGATGACTAGCTGACAACAGACTTAAAATATCATTTTGATAACGCTGTGGATTCATGTTTCCTCGAATAACGACGAGTCTGGTTTTGGCGTCAACGCATATTCTACCCCAAACCATTAAATCTCCGAATGGCCGGACTTAATGAATGCAATTCTGTGCCAAACGTTCACCACATGTTCCGTACACACGCTGCCGACCATCGCTCTAGAAGATGCAAATTCTTCTTTTGTCGGAAAACATGAACTGTGCCAACGTCGAAGTCGCCTGTTGGCTCGATGGTGAGGTGTCAGGAACGCTCCGCTATAACGGAGACGTGCACGGATACCATGTGCCTGCAATCTCCTGTACACCGTTTGTGTTTTTTTATCATCGTTTTGGTAAAGTGCGCGTTTACGCGAATACGTTTGGTTTGGAACATAGAAAGCATGTTTTCATACGAAAACAAGTATTTAATTAAAAAATACATTGAAAAATGTTTGGTATCGTTCCTTTTGGACATTAGTTTATGTGGGATTTTATTCCAATGGATATAATTTGTGTTTATCTATGCGGCACTTCATTCTGGTGATTTATCCACTTCTTTTTTAGTTCACTAGATGGACATATAGCTGGAACCTGGCTTCACTCAGTTCAAAACGAAAGAGAATTATGGACATACCCTTTAGTATTACAGTCAACGTGACACGGCACCAGTGAGGGACGGGGATGTCCATCAAGCAAGGGGAGACAAACGACACCAGTGAGGGACGGAGCTGCCCATCAAGCAAGGGGAGACACACGACATCAATGAGGGACGGAGCTGTCCACCATGCAAGGGGAGACACACGACACCAGTGAGGGGCGGAGCTGCCCATCAAGCAAGGGGGAGATACACGACACCAGTGAGGGACGGAGCTGTCCATCAAGCAAGAGGATACACACGACACCAGTGAGGGACGGAGCTGCCCATCAAGCAAGAGGAGACACACGACACCAGTGAGGGACGGAGCTGTCCACCAAGCAAGGGGAGACACACGACACCAGTGAGGGGCGGAGCTGCCCATCAAGCAAGGGGGAGATACACGACACCAGTGAGGGACGGAGCTGTCCATCAAGCGAGGGGAGACAAACGACACCAGTGAGGGGCGGAGCTGTCCATCAAGAGAGGGGAGACACACGACACCCTTGAGGGACGGAGCTCCCATCAAGCAAAGGGGAGACACAAGACACCAGTGAGGGACGGAGCTGCCCATCAAGCAAGGGGAGACACACGACACCAGTGAGGGACGGAGCTGCCCATCAAGCAAGGGAGACACACGACACCAGTGAGGGGCGGAGCTGTCCATCAAGCGAGGGGAAACACACGACACCCTTGAGGGACGGAGCTGCCCATCAAGCAAGTGGAGACACGCGACACCAGTGAGGGGCGGAGCTGCCCATCAAGCAGGGGAGACACACGACACCAGTGAGGGGCGGAACTGCCCATCAAGCAAAGGGAGACACACGACACCAGTGAGGAGCGGAGCTGTCCATCAAGCGAGGGGAAACACACGACACCCTTGAGGGACGGAGCTGCCCATCAAGCAAGTGGAGACACACAACACCAGTGAGGGGCGGAGCTGTCCATCAAGCAAGGGGAGACACACGACACCAGTGAGGGGCGGAACTGCCCATCAAGCAAGGGGAGACACACAACACCAGTGAGGGGCGGAGCTGTCCATCAAGCAAGGGGAGACACACGACACCAGTTAGGGGAAGAGCTGTCAATCAAGTAAGGGGGGACACCACACCAGTGAGGGGAGGAGCTGTCTATCAAGCAGGGGGCACACAAGCAACATAGAGAGTGCACTCGCTTGACCAGCAACAAGGTATCTATTTCTGTACGATAATCAGTTTTTACTATTGTACAATACTTGCTGTGTAACGAGGATCGTTACTCTATTCTGTATGTTAGTTCATTTTGACTTGTGAGGTAGTATTTTAGTTTTGATTTATCAATGAATTACGTTACTTTGTTCGTCTAGTATACTTTACCTTACAGGTTGGTGTGTCGTGTATTGAACAAATGTTCATCAGAATCTAGAAAATTACACCACTGTCCTGTGCGTTTTTGTTTCGTTTGTCCGTGGCAATGGATAGGAGGCAGTTTCGCAATATTATGTTCCGTATTTTAATGGGGAAAACGATGAAAATGTTTCTGGTTCTCACGGGCGTAATTGTTAGTTTTATCTAGAGGGTACGAGTGAACGTGGATGGTGATGATACCAGTCCGACAAGTCCCTGTTATCCTCCTGGGTAGCAATACCGTTACTACAATGGCCATGACTGTCTGACGGTGAACTATTGGTACATACACTATGAAGACTTTAGTATCAGTGTTGTGATGTTTTAATGGGATGCTAGATCCGGGATTACAGCCGTTTGTGGAGCATAGACATATTTAGATACACAACACGCCGACAATTACGTCATTTATTGCCTACACCTACGAAATATTATCTTAGATACAAATGATATACTTTGCGTTCACAGTTCATATGGATGTAATGTTCGGATATCATGATGTTATTAAGCGAGGAAACTACACATATGTGTTTGTTGTTTTACACCGCACTCAGCAATATTCCAGATATTTGTCGGCGGTCTGTAAATAATCGAGTGTGGACCAGACAATCCAGTATACAGTGGAGTGTCACGTGGAGTAACGATTAGGATTCTTTGGTATTATATTTAGTCAAAACGATTGCCTATATATATGATAAAAGTTACTCGTTTGTTTGCATTTCGAAAGTCATTACATAAAGGCATAAATATAACAACCAGATGGGAGGCTGTATAGTTTAGACAATAATAACTTTGCTAACTGCTTATTAAACATCAACTAATGGGATCAGGTTTGGTTGATGCATGTCATCGTATCCCAGATACGTCAATAGGTGTTCATTATCTGGTCCAGAGTCGATTATTTTCAGACCAGCGTCATATTGTTGGAACATGTCTGACGTCAACGTTAAACAAAGGAAAACAAAACTTCTTTTAACCAATAGGTTAAACAGCGATAACACAAACTCCGCACAATCACGCATCAACAATCAGGAATACTACTCCGCTAGAGGGCGCGCCCTACTCAGTAAGAGTTCATGGAAACACTAATGCCAAACTAATGCCTGGGTAGCAAATGTCATGGAATATTTGTTAAACTGACACACAAATGGTTTGAACGTAGACATGCGGTAGACATCACTTTGGGTTATCCCCAAATTGTATATTTTTGTTGATAACTTGCAAATAGAGACTCAGCAGACTGGCAACAAACCATCTGCGCATGTGTGAAGAGGGGTATTTGTCGCAGCAACCTCGACATTGATGTCCTGATATATACCAATGTGTACAAGTATATTTACAACAACAGCCAAGGTTAGACAGGAATTGTTCCTTTTTTCTTGAAGCGTTCATACAAGCTGAGGGGGTGCTTGGGGAGTAGAATCCTGTCTGAGACGAGATGTCTGTGCAATATCAGTTCCAGAGATTACGAGGCCAAATGTCGGTGAGATATTTAGATTCTTCAGGAAGCTTATCCTAAACTCTTCTTTCATAACAGGTTTAGCTGTTACATCATATTTAAAACATATCTTGTTCTTACACACTGATTACCCGTGAAGATCTGGGTAAGAATTGGTCTTCAGTAACCCATGCTTGTCGTAAGAGACGACTAACGGGATCGGGTGATCAGGCTCGCTGACATGGTTGACACATGTCATCGTATCCCAATTGCGTAGATCGATGCCCATATTGTTGATCAATGGATTGTCTGGCCCAGACTCGATTATATAGCCGGAATATTGCTGAGTGCGGCGTAAAACTAAACTCACTCTCTTACTCACTTACACATTGATGATAGTATTAGGACACTGCGCTTTGGAACCGAGAAAATGGCAGTTTCATAAACAAACTTTGTTTGGTTTTATTTGTATTTTTACAGGTGGACGTGTTATTTTGTCAGTGATGGACAATGTTTGCAATTGATGCGACACTATAACACAGACATGTTTGAACACTATTTACTCTAAGATTCCATTATATTAACTGCATTTGCAGAGTGTGTTGTGGGAATGGCCCGAGGGGATTGTCTTGGGTATTTCAAGGGGTCGACATGATGATTTACACAGAAAGGTAGATTCTGTCATCTCCACTTGGAGTATTTCAAGGCCTACACTATGACGTAACCTCTGACTGCAACTGGTTTCGGGGAAGAACCTGCTTGCATCACAACCCACCTGGGTAACAAAGTAGAATGTTCGGTGTATGGAGAAACCCCAGAGCTGATGGGGAACATGACCAGGCTACAATACAACTCCTTCTTGGACAATTGTCATTACTTGAAGTAAGTCAGTTCTTAGATGCGATCTGTTTAAATACTGATATATATATTTATTTGATCACTTCAGACTCATAATGTTTAGAGTATCCAAATGCTTTAGTGCTACACGGTTGGCAGAATATCAACTTACGATGAGCATTTACTTAGTACCAGTACTAAGTGTTAGTACTAAGTTAAGTTAGTTTATCAACAGAAACATCTTTCTAAAGCCTAAGTTTCAGTGACAGCTAGGCGGTAAGACGAATCTATCAGCACTCCTGCAGGTGTTGCCATACCTTAAAGTTTTGGTCACCAGCCAGTGTAGTGGTGCCACTTTTAAATACGTGTTTTAAAAATATCAATCAAGTATGAGTTCAGTTATCATTCAAGTTCTGTGTATTCCATATTTTTTAACTTTATATAGTTTTATGATTTATTAAAGCGGTGAGTGATATGATTCCATCTGCTCTCTGTAGGTTTTCTTCACAAGCTGAACTGCCAAGCCTGAAATTACTTAAAGGTTGCTGGTTTGGTTAACGCTGGTTACATGTACATCAAATACAGATTAAACAATATCCAGCGGAAACTGTGTAGGTCTCTTTGGTATCATTTCAATACATTTTATATTTATCATTTCTTTGTCACCTTCTGTTTCAGGGAGTGAGCTGTGTGTGCGGATGCAGTTGTTACAGTGAGATGAGATTCGAATTCGGAAAAAAACTATCAAGACTGCTGATTTACGAATAAATGAAAAATCACATTGTTTCCCATATTGTTGTTATTGTCATGTTTTACAGATTACGATATTCTGACAGACGAGGATCTCATTATGTCATGACCTTTGTGTTGTAACGTATATATACTGAGGGAAAGCAGCATACAAGGACAAGTGTTCCTGTATTCATCTTCCAAGTTTCTTCGCTGGCTCTGTGGTCAGGCTAACTGACTTGACTGACATGGCCCCCTGTCATCTTTTCCGAATTAGGAATATTGATGCTCATGATGTCAATCACTGGAATGTATGGTCCAAATGTGATTATTTACAGAACACCGTCATATAGCTGGAGCACTGCTGAGTGTAGCGTTAAACAACAAACAAACAAAACACAAGTCTAATGCTCATGATGTCAATCACTGGAATGTATGGTCCAAATGTGATTATTTACAGAACACCGTCATATAGCTGGAGCATTGCTGAGTGTAGCGTTAAACAACAAACAAACAAAACACAAGCCTAATGCTCATGATGTCAATCACTGGAATGTATGGTCCAAATGTGATCATTTACAGACCACCGTCATATAGCTGGAGCATTGCTGAGCAAACAACAAACAAACAAAACACAAGCCTAATGCTCATGATGTCAATCACTGGAATGTATGGTCCAAATGTGATTATTTACAGACCACCGTCATATAGCTGGAGCATTGCTGAGTGTAGCGTTAAACAACAAACAAACAAAACACAAGCCTAATGCTCATGATGTCAATCACTGGAATGTATGGTCCAAATGTGATTATTTACAGAACACCGTCATATAGCTGGAGCATTGCTGAGTGTAGCGTTAAACAACAAACAAACAAAACACAAGCCTAATGCTCATGATGTCAATCACTGGAATGTATGGTCCAAATGTGATTATTTACAGACCACCGTCATATAGCTGGAGCATTGCTGAGTGTAGCGTTAAACAACAAACAAACAAAACACAAGCCTAATGCTCATGATGTCAATCACTGGAATGTATGGTCCAAATGTGAATATTTACAGACCACCGTCATATAGCTGGAGCATTGCTGAGTGTAGCGTTAAACAACAAACAAACAAAACACAAGCCTAATGCTCATGATGTCAATCACTGGAATGTATGGTCCAAATGTGATCATTTACAGACCACCGTCATATAGCTGGAGCATTGCTGATTGTAGCGTTAAACAACAAACAAACAAAACACAAGCCTAATGCTCATGATGTCAATCACTGGAATGTATGGTCCAAATGTGATTATTTACAGACCACCGTCATATAGCTGGAGCATTGCTGATTGTAGCGTTAAACAACAAACAAACAAAACACAAGCCTAATGCTCATGATGTCAATCACTGGAATGTATGGTCCAAGTGTGATCATTTACAGACCACCGTCATATAGCTGGAGCATTGCTGATTGTAGCGTTAAAAAACAAACAAACAAAACACAAGCCTAATGCTCATGATGTCAATCACTGGAATGTATGGTCCAAATGTGATTATTTACAGACCACCGTCATATAGCTGGAGCATTGCTGATTGTAGCGTTAAACAACAAACAAACAAAACACAAGTCTAATGCTCATGATGTCAGACACTGGAATGTATGGTCCAAGTGTGATCATTTACAGACCACCGTCATATAGCTGGAGCATTGCTGATTGTAGCGTTAAAAAACAAACAAACAAAACACAAGTCTAATGCTCATGATGTCAATCACTGGAATGTATGGTCCAAGTGTGATTATTTACAGACCACCGTCATATAGCTGGAGCATTGCTGAGTGTAGCGTTAAACAACAAACAAACAAAACACAAGCCAAATCTCATGATGTCAATCACTGGAATGTATGGTCCACGTGTGATTATTTACAGACCACCGTCATATAGCTGGAGCATTGCTGAGTGTAGCGTTAAACAACAAACAAACAAATCACAAGCCTAATGCTCATGATGTCAATCACTGGAATGTATGGTCCAAATGTGATTATTTACAGACCACCGTCATATAGCTGGAGCATTGCTGACTGTAGCGTTAAACAACAAACAAACAAAACACAAGCCTAATGCTCATGATGTCAGACACTGGGTTATCTTAACCATATCTTTTATTTACAAACCGTGGGAATTATTTCTTGGAATTAAATCTCTATATGAGAATAATGAGTACTGGATAAAACTGTTTACAAATCACCAGCTAATTTTCACGACAGTAACATGATTACGTTTCTGAATTATCTATCCACTCAAACTTAAAAATATTTAAACATCTTTGCCATGGCTGCTGTGACGAAACGTGGGTCGACGGTCAGATGTATATGATTTTACGACACGTCGTCAGTCCGAGAAGCGTGCCCAATTCAGAGTTACTTCCCCTAGATCGTGACGACAGTTTCCCTGAATTTTACCGTTGACCAACAGCCACAATACAAGGTGACAACAACGTACAACATAGTTACCGTGTGTTTTTAACACAAACAAATAAAAATACAGATTGTATTTTTTTCTTAAATTGATCATGAAAAGAGTTATACCCACGTGTACTTAGAAATATTCTAATCTTAACTCACTTTCAAATGTATTTCCTCAACGACTTCGGTGATTATATGATACCATTGATGTAACGATTCGTGAAGTCTGAACTTGGAACTGTTACACATCTAATCTAAATCCTGTTCCGGAAATAAGAGTAGAAGCCGGGCGCAAAAAAAAACCGTTTTGAAACCCATTTGCAAAGACCTGGGCCCTTATTCTCGAAACGTTCGTAGCCCTAAGAATTCTTAACTTTGATCGTAGCCAGTGTGTTAAGAATGGGCTTAAGAAGTTCGTAGGGCTACGAACGTTTCGAGAATAGCTAGCCAGATTCTTATCAATTTACAGACTAACCGACTACGTTATTAACACGGAAAAACTGACAAAGTTTTACCAATATTTTATAACGATGTGCGTTATTGAAAACTGGAAATATTACAGACTAACCGGCTACGTTCCTCAATCTTAAACCTGCCATGGGTCACATTGATAACGAGCATCGGACTTAATCCGGGACCAGTATCTCTAAAGCTAACAGAACCAAGGTGCATTACGTTTATCTGTCTTTACGACTGTTTGTATTCCACGCTGGTCAAATCACGTGCGTGCCACATATACCTTCGTGGCATACTCGCGACTGGCCATCGATGCTTCGGTGCAACTAAATGACATAATCTCACGTTCACAATAACAACGTTATCGTAAGTTTTATCTGTAAGCGCTATTATTTGCGATAGCTAGAAGAGATATAAAATACGGATGACAGTCACAAATCAGGGGGTGGCTGTCTAGTAAATTCACTCAGGTAGGAAACTTTACTTCCTTCTACTCTGACATACTATTGTTATTCTATGTTAACTTTAACCTATTGTAAATACCTTAACTATATGTTACCACCCTTGTGAGTACCTTCAGGTTTATGTGGAACGAGGCATCCCTTATTGTGTCTCATATCTTCTGTATTACAGTTTAGGATTGTTTATTTAATACTGATTGACACTACACTGTTTTGTGACTATTATAGATTGTATAGAGTGTGTCGGATATTTTAACTATTGTATTACGTTGTGAACACTATGCTGTTAGGGACCGTTGCAGGATGTAGATTGTATGAACGCCCACTGGGGTGATGTGTAGAGTATTGAACAATCACATAATATGTTGTATACTTTTGAATGTGTATCATGATTAATGTAGTATGTGTCACGAATCCAAGTGTGATATTTATGTACTTTGATAGATGATTACAGTGTTAACATTTTCTAATAATTAATTATAAACCATACCATTATTGATTGATTATTTGAGATCATCCTGTGACTGCTGTGTAATAAACTCCTTGTTTATTTTACTCAGGTGTTGTGTTGTGTGTGGGTTGGTATAGTTATACCTCTTGCCAAGCGAGCTAATTCCCCAACACTCGCGTTTTAACATCACCATGCAGAATTATGGTGATAAGTGACCGTGTGCTGTCAGTGAAATATGCCTGGCGTGTAAAACTCCAGATTTACCAGAATGACTGTAACCAGAATGTGATTGTAATAGAAATATGCCTATCCACCCAATGTAATATCTAGCATAGCATTTCAACGTTGGCAACTAACGGTCGGATTTCCTTCGTTGGCCTGACGTTTGTCCAACGTCGGGTTGCGTCGAGGACATTATATTCAAGGGACGCTACTCCAAACTGTTTGCTTTTTCTAGAGGGCGATGAGGTATGTAATCTCTGCTCGAGCAGACAACGCGCAATGTTCCCAAGTTTGGCCACCGGAGTAGCAATTTTCTCGATTGTTTATAAACAGCAATTTCATTCCATCTTATAAGTAAATACTAACAATATTAGAAAATACTAACAATATTTACTTCACGAAATTATTGGTATATAATATATGAATATGCAAACATTTGTAAAATTTTAAGACGTTTATGAACAGAACAGTGATGTATAATAATTCGCCAGGTGCGCGTTTGGCACAAACGTTTTACGATAGACATGCCTTGTTTTCAATTATCTAATCAATTTATATCTGAAAAAAGAAAATTGTGGCGATAGGATTATTGAACTGGAACTATATTTCTTCAATAATTGAATATATGTCTTACACACACACACACACACCCACCCACACACACACATATGCATATATATATATATATATATATTCACCTGATAGTTCTCACATACAATTGGAGCTTAACTTTTACATCTCCCATTCTAAACTCCTGAAGAGAACTGCCACATATTATTGAACAGGGAAACGCCCTTTTCTGAAAATATATTCATATGTTTTGAATTCTTTTCACTAACGTAAAATTGATGTTAAACACATGCTCGTATCGTCCACATTAAAATCCACGGTGAAACTAGCTAATTCTTCATCTTTACAGAACATTATTTAAAGGGTAAAACCAGTTTTTGATCCGTCGAAAAGGGTCAAATTCTAACTGTGAGATATTTCGTACAATCACGGAAATGTATACTAA